CTATACGACCCAGGTTCACAGTAAAGAAAAAGATAACCCTAAAGCTTGGTGGAGTGAAATCAAACGCCTAGGAGGAATGAAATCAATGAATAGCTCCCTAATAAATTTGATAAATATCGCTGGTTTTGAAGATATATCGGAACAAGAACTAGCAAACAGAATAAATACAGCTTTTCTTGAGTCCTTATCAGAATATCAACTATCTTCACCGTTAGAACGACTTAACTTAGAGGAAAACCCAGACTTCTTAGAAGTTTCTGAAGAAAGGGTTTTATCACAGCTACAAAAACTCAACCCCAGTAAAAGTGGTGGCCCTGACGAAGTGCCCAATTGGCTCTTGCGAGAGTATTCTGCAATCCTTGACCTCCCAATTAGTCTACTCCTAAATGCATCCTACAAACAACAACGCCTACCTGCAATATGGAAACTTGCGAATGTTTCACCGCTGCCAAAAGTAAAAATAGTACAGGACCTGAAAAAAGAACTTAGGCCCATTTCTTTAACACCTAATATTTCGAAGGTTGCAGAGCATTTCCTTGTTAATGATTATGTGAAACCAGCTGTTTTGAAGAAAATTGACCCCAATCAGTATGGAGCAATCCCTAAATCATCGACGATTTTTGCTCTTCTTAGTATGGTGCATAACTGGACCTCCGGGCTTGACCGTACCGGTTCTACAACTAGAATCATTCTATTCGATTACCAAAAAGCTTTTGATCTAATTGATCACAGAATTTTGTTCAATAAACTACTTCAGTTAGATCTACCACGAAGTGTTATAAATTGGATTATTGATTTCTTAAGTAACAGATTCCAAAGAGTCAAACTTTCACAAGGATGCTTTTCAGATTGGGGTGCAGTACCTTCGGGCGTCCCTCAAGGCACCATTTTAGGTCCATGGCTCTTTTTAATCCTGATAAATGATTTATCTATCGCAAATACTGACTTATGGAAATACGTGGACGATACGACAGTATCGGAAACAGTTGACAAAAACCAACAGAGTAGAGCACAGACAATTGCTAATGAGATGTCACAATGGTCCCAAAACAATAAAATGAAGCTGAATGAAGAGAAATGTAAGGAACTCCGTATTTCCTTCTCAAAAGTCCCTCGTGATTTTAACCCGATACTTATTAACAACAAAAGTATTAGAGTCATAAAATCCGTTAAACTTCTGGGTTTGTCATTCGATAATAACCTGACGTGGAACCTACATATCGAAGAGGTAGTTAAAAAAGTATCCAAACGAATCTATTACCTGATCCAACTCAAACGGGCCGGTATTCCTCGGAATGATCTGGTTCTATTTTATGTTACATGTATTCGATCTGTTATCGATTATGGTATCCCTGTCATTTACTATTCGTTGCCAAAATACTTGCGTTCCGAATTGGAAAGATTACAAAAAAGAGCTATTAGAATCATCTGTCCAAACACTAATTACGAAGACGCTTTAATTAGTTGTGGACTGGAGTCACTGTCTGTTCATCATGAAAATATTTGTACTAGTTTATTTCAAACAATAGTTGCTGCTGAAAATCATAAGTTACGAAGTTTACTGCCACCTACACATACTTCTTTTTATGATTTAAGAACCGATAGGAAATTTGAAATTCCTAGATGTAACACTAATCGTTTTCAAACTAGTTTTTTTGTGGCTTCGTGCCGCAAATCATTTATGTAATGCTATTGAAATGACCTAATATTTTTAATAATTTTAAATTTTTTAGTATATTAAAGTAATAAACATCTTGTATATATAATATTTATATGGAATGTCATCATAATGGCTTGATAAACTCTTTTTATATTCTCGTAATTAGTTAAATTTACTTGTAAAAAAAAATACGCAATTCAGCCTATGGCTGCGAAGTATTTTATTAAATCTATCTATCTATCTATCTATCTATCTATCTATCTATCTATCTATCTATCTATCTATCATTTTTGACTGACAACTGACAAAATATCCTAACTGACAACTGAGAAGTGATGAAAAAATGATGTCAGCTTTTTTGCCGTAACTAACTACTGACAGCTTGCAATATATCGCACTGACAACTGGTTTAAATTTTAGCTGACAACTGACACCCAAAGACCCCCATTAAGACCCTCTTTCCACACAATTTCTCGTTTTCCCAATTTGCACTCGTGTTGATATCAACACGGAAAATGTTTTATATTTGTTAAATAATGCATAACGGCGCCAGTATTCCAAACTAATTCTACGTACACCACGTCGTATTTAGAAATAGTACACACTTGCACGTCGCGCCGCTGACCCGTGGACAAAAAGCGCATATACAATTACGTAATTTACGTTGGTAAAACCCCATTATTCTAAAAGCAATTCCGGTATAATGTGCGTATCTAGATGTCAAATTCCGCTTATATTGTGGGTTGAATCTGGAACGATCAACGATACCTAGGCAGCTAACCTGGAAAACTAAAGCTTAAAATTTACCAATGTTTAGAAGAGCCTTTAATTATTGAGCAAGTCCAGCTCACTGATCTACAATCATGGAAATAATATCCGTAGACTTTTTTAAAACGTATCTTGGGGGGGGGGTTGAATTTTTACAATACAGTCAATAGCCACCAAGTAATTTCCATGATTGTAGCTTAAACATCTGGTCAGGCTGTAACGTGCTGCTCGCGGGCGTGTTGCAGTGTCAGTGGAACCGAATCAAAACAAGCATGTGTAAATGTTAATCATACAGACAAGGATTCAGATTTCATTTCTATCATCGTGTTAATTAGAAAATTAAACGAGACTTACCTGGAAGTTGAAGTTTGATTGGAATTCTATCAGCCATCTACAGAGCAGAGATTACACGAGATACTACGCATGCGCACAGCTGGTCATATTTTAAAGTGATTAGTGGCCACATGAAAACCTGTGAATGTGCATATACACCATATGCAGGGAGGTGATGGAATAATGGGAGGGCGTGTAATCTCTGCTCTGTAGATGGCTGATAGAATTCCAATCAAACTTCAACTTCCAGGTAAGTCTCGTTTAATTTTCTAATTCTATCAGCATCTACCGCAGAGATTCCACGAGATTTTAAAGCCATGTGGTCACTAAAATAAGTACTTAAACAGTATGCATAGCTAATATTTGCATATTACAACACTAATACATATATACTTCAAGTATATAGATGTAATATGAACCGAAACAGTTGCTTTACATTCTTCTGTTCCTAGAATCCTCAAGTTTGAAAAATAACAAAACAGGAACCAAATGGTGCTAAACTTCCAGTGTCTTGTCCTTACTTGGCATCCGACCGCAGTATAGCATTCCCAAAATCTGTACATTCTCGGTGAGATTCGATGTCTTTATTATAGAAGCGATGAAATACACAATCACTTCTCCAATTTGCAGCCTTGAGGATTGAATTTATCGGAACATCACAGCTGGCAGCCTTACTGGTTGATGCTGCTCGTGTACTATGAGGTTTGAATACACTTGTGTCAATCCCTGCAGCTTCCATTACAATCTTTATCCAACGAGAGATAGAGGCTTTTGACACTTTCTTGTGCGGTCGAATCACACTAATGTTTGGGTTTCATTGTTCCGAAGGGGCGCTGTACGCTTAATATATTCCTCAAGAGTTGAAGCTACACACAAGCTGTGGTCAGATGGATATCTTGGGATTACGAGGGAAGGTTGGTCCCGAGTCGGTGCCGACTGTTTCACTAGTTTATCAATGTGAAAAAAACATAGGAATCATTGTTCTTGCAGAGGGTTGAAAGGTCCATAAGGTGGAGGGTTTGTGATCTCTGCCCTGTAACTAATGCACAGAGCATAGCTAGTTTATGAGTAAGCTGCTGTAAAGTGAGTTCCTCCACTGGATGAAGTGTTTTGAGGTACGATAGTACAATTGAAGTATCCCATGTGTTCCGATATCGGGGTAGTGCAGGTCTAGCCTGAAAAACTCCTTTCATGAATCTTTGTATCATTGGGTGTGCACCAACATATAAGTTTCCCTCCCAAACCACAAATGATGACAATGTACTCCGTGCAGTATTTATGCCACTATAGCTAAACCCCTGGTCAAACTGTTCCTGTAGGAACTCCAGCACCTCAATCAGAGTTGGATGAAGGGGATCTGCATTCCACTGATTAGCAAATGACTGCCATTTGTTGAGAAAGACTTGGTTTTGTTTTTGTGTTCCAGATCGCCAGGAGTTGAGTATTGTTGCTTGAGCTTTTGATGAAATGCCCTTACTTGACAGGGATCGCCGGATAAGAGACAGGCCATCAGCTTCAGTTGTTTCCCCAGCGGGTGTTCTTTTTCTTGCTTGAAAGGAAGAGTCACATTGCTCTTGTGTTTCGGTAGAAGGATTGGTTGTTGGATCAACAACCTTGTCAACATAGGGTACCATGGCTGGGTTGGCCAATTTGGCACAATAAGGATTGCTTGTGTCTGAGCTGTATCCAGTTTTTGCAATACTTGTGGTATAATGTAGACGTGCCCAAGTCGCTCGCTAGGGACCGCGCGTAGCAAGAAGGGAGCGCTTGAGAAAGACGGAAGCGAGCGACTTGTGTCACTTGCCTGATTTTGAATCTTACTGAAAAATTTGGCGCGAAAATCAGTTATGAGATAGTGGGCGTTCACCACAGTGTGACCAGATGTGGTAATTTCATTACTACCGTGGTAATTTTTCGTCATTTTTGGACGATTGTGGTAATTGGAAATTTGTGGTAATTACTACGGTAATTTTTGGAATTGTGGTTATTAAGCTGAAAATTGCTAAAAAAAGTCAATTAAGTTAGCTATTTTGGTACTTTTTCCAGACCTAAAGTTTCCAGACCTAAATTTTACAGATTTTGGGTAAAAAACCTTAATTTAACTGGTGTTTAATTTAAAATTTGAACCTTAATTTAACTGGTGGTTGTCCCAAAAATTTTGTTGTCTGGGAAAATTTTTGCCCTCCCCCCCTCGCCAACATTTTTGGGGAAAATATGGTACCGTGGTAATTTTTGACCCAATGTAGTAATTTTATGCAGCCAGATGTGGTAATTACCCCTGAAAAAACCTGGTCACACTGGTTCACCATGTCAATTTCACTAGTTACTCGCTGGGACACGCTGGGGCCTTTCGTGGAGTGGCCTGAAAATATTTCAAACAATTTCGTTAAAATTTTCAACGAATTGTAGCTGTTTTTTATGGATTTTGCATTGTGTCTAACTCTAGACATTCTTGCCAGTTCAGTTAATGCGTTTTTCTTTGTGCACGACTCTGAAAATCCGAAATTTGGATCGTCGAATTCCCGTGCACGATCATAATATACTGAATCTGAATATAAACGAGGCAAAGACAATTTCAAGGTAAAATTATAACTTACAGTAAACTACACAACTTACTTTTACTGTAATAGATAACTACTTTACGAGAAGTCATATCAATATAAAATTTATCCAACAACAGTCCCTATATTAAATTGTTGTTAATAGCTGTGGAAACGTGAAAACTGTAGTGTGAAATATGCAATAAGGATAAAAATACCAACCTTCGATTCAGCGTAAGAAATTGTACTTACGGGTGTCAAATGTATCACTAAACAACAGTATTCTAGCGATTTATGGCCTTTACCTTTACAGTAAAATCCACGCGAAATTGTATTGCGAACGAATCGCTCAAAATTATTCAACTAATTATAAAAAATGCAGTACGTTTGATCCTTGATAACTTTGGTATCGTTGGTTTTCTCTTTTTCGGCTGTATACCAGTGGATTTGTCTCACTTCTCTCTTCATTTTGATAGTATTTTGTGCCCAAAGGCCCCAAACTATTTTATTTTTAACGTTTTAAAGCGCTGTATATAAATCCTAGCCGGTGGACTAACGCCGGGAGTTTTGTTTGTATAGGCCGCATTGGTACTGTGTCTGATTGTATAAAATCATGAGCTGCATGGGCTCATTATATTAACAGAAACTTCAAAACTGAGCCACCTACCTGCAATACAAACCTAGCCAATTTGAGAGCGGCAGCACTCTCCCCTTGACAAGCAAAATCGACTGGTATATAAGACATTAAAATAATAAAGTAGGTTGCATGATAGACAGAGCACTGTTACATGTTGATATAGTTCAAAACAGAGTGAACAAAACTGTAACTGAAAAGTT